TCCTCCTCACGTCTGAGACGATTGTTTATGAAAATTTATTTTTACCTATTCATACTATATAAATTTGTTTATTCATTAATGTAAAACATATATCTTCAATACTCATGCAGTTATTTCAAGTTCAATATATTTATGTATGATAATTCAGACTGATTTCTTTATTTAATTCATTTTGTTATCTGAATTCACAAGATTCATTTTTAATATGATATTATTCAGACGCAAAATATTAATTATGTGACCGAGTCAACCAGAATATTAACATGTTAATTTGTACAGAGTAGATTCGAGTGGCTCATTTAAAATTCAGAATGATTGATTACTTGCTACGCAAATATCGAAAGCTTACAAACATGTTATCTTAAATAACTCGAGAGAGCATTTTTCATTTTCGAACTCAAGGCAAAAGTTTAGTTATAGCATCCGACCCAATCACATTCTTGCACAACCTAAGAAGCATGCAAGTTTCGTTTTCATCTTTTTCTTAAAGACAGATATTCAAGCCAAGAGCTTGCGTAACACAGAAATTCAAAGCATACAATATTGAAGCCACTAAGCAAGAGAAAAAAAGAGTAAGAAAGAGTCGTTCAGATATTAAAAGTAGACGGGAAGTCTCGGGAGAATTTGCATTACCTTCGCTCCTCCTTTCCACGTAAAATACAAATATTTTCCGGCAGAGCCAGAGCAAGCCTCAATCTCTCACTTTTCGAGTGAAATTTCAGTCCTCCAGACGCTTCAGTTCACCTGCAGCACTTGGCGGAGTGAATCACAACAAGCGCGCGCGAGCTTTTCATTGGAGTTTCGGTAAGAAAATTTTTGTTGATTAAACTTGCCTTCACCTCCTTGCTAAAGTAACTAATCGCGGCCGTATTTTAACCTCCAAAAAGAAAACTACGATCGTAGAATTGAGGTTAATTGAAAGAAGCAACGCGACGACGTTGATTGTGCGTTAAACGTGGCACTCGATTGTGCGAGCAAATGCCTTTGCTCGCTCGCGTCGAAGGCGTGATGGAAAAAAAGAAGGAAAGAAAACGAGAACAAAGAGAAACAATCACAAAAGGGAGCTACTTAAATGCTTGAATTGAAAAGCTAAGAAACGCTTAAACTCAGGCTCCGCCAACGAGCACACTTTCAATGTGCGAGGCACAGAAAAAAAAATTAAAGCTCCGAAAGGCAGCAACAGAAAAAGTACAAGGGATTACGCGCAACTGTTCTCTTGCTGTGTGCGAGCGTGTTAGGCGAACTTTGTTTGCGCCAACTTTTCTCGCTTGCTGCGGAAGCTGTTCAACGTTAAAAAATGCAAAACGCCGCTACCGTTTCTCTCTCTCTCTCTCTCTCTCTCTCTCTCTCTCTCTCTCTCTCTCTCTCTCTCTCTCTCTGTCTGACGAAGGATGAGCATGAATGAGGCCTGCGAGGGGCTTACGGCAAGGATCGTGTAATTAGTTGCGAAGTGCGCTAATGAATTGTTTGGAATCCCATTGTTTAATTAACATCAGCAAATGGAGCTGTACGAGCTCTTTATGTGTTGGCTTTTCTATATATTTACTTCAGACAGATCTGCTTTGAAATATTAATCGAGGAAAAACAACTTTATAACTTTCCACCCAAAATTACGAATAAAGCAAATAGGTAGCTAAAATCATCAATAGGCTCTATCTCGGGTAACGTTTACACCTGGACCGAATGCACGTTTTCCTCAAGCCACTACGGTTCTCCCTTGGTCTCAGTCGACCAGTCAGACAGAGCAAAGAAAAGCCGCGTGGAGTTCATGCCGCACACCACTGGAAATCCTTTTCAGGGCTTTATATCCGTACTCTCATCCCTTTTCACGGTGTACTTTTAAGCCTTGGCTTTCGTGCGCTCTAGTTCGCCTCTTCTCGTCATCAAACGCCCCTAGAACAGATTGCCGACTGATATTCGGTTACGTTTGAATTTTTAGATCCTTTTTCTACTCCCTTTCCATCGAGAAAAAGTATATATTTTTCGCGTTCAAGCGGATACATACCATGCAATTTTGATTTGTTGTCGAACAAAGAAATAAATAATCAAAGATGATTTTCAGTACTCGCTTGTAATACTTTAATATTAATTAGCGCATAATTTCTATTATAACGAATATTAATAAAATGCTGTATTAATTGGCTAATGTGAGGCGGCTCACTACCCTCATCCAAAGTTTTAAATAATAAATTGAAAACGGGAGCATACTTTACGCGCGCTCTCTAATGAAATCATTCTCTGCTGATCGTTAATGGAAAACGACCGTGCGAGATTAAGCCTTTTCCTATCTCTGCTTTCCGAGAAGATAAATTTTTTTTAGTGGTCGGTCGAAACTTGTTCAAAATGGAATCATTCGCCAGCATAACGACTTAACGGTAACTCATGGATTTTCTTACGGACGGAGCAAAAAAAACGAAAGAGAATGAGACCCGTTAAAATGACCGATCGAAGCTTATTTTCATCTACGCCATCAAACAACGAGGTTTATGCACAATCTTCCCTTTCCAGTTTGTGTTGTAAAAAGCAACAAGTAAATGAAATCAAGTGCGGCATGAGCGACCCCATCAAATGAATCCCGCGGATAGCGAAAATTTTGAGTATAATACGTGCAAACTGGCGCGTGCGACGCAATAGTCAATCGTCGAAATTGTGGAGGGAGGGACAGAAGGGAGTATTAGGGACCTCCCCTTGGCAATCGGCACTAATCAGCGCGCATTAATATTCCCGAGCGCGTAAGGAAATCCTGCCTCATTGATATTCCATAGAGGAGGCCTCGCAATTAAGACGTTCGAATGGGCTGAGATAACGAGCTCTCGCCAACTTCACTTCATTTCTCTCGTACTCCCGACGATCAATATTTGAGATTGTGAATGTCAGCAACGTGGAAAATGTCGAGCCTTTGCAATTTTACATTGCGTTGCATTGGAATAGACATGAATGGTTCGATGTGTCAGTTATGTTGACAGAGAGAACTGCGTATACATATCTATTGGAAGATGTTTTTTAACTGAATGACGTATATTTTTGAAATGTTTGTCGCGCTGTTGCGACCCGTGTACTTTTCGGCGTGAACTGATATCTCGAATGTACGATCGGACATTGTATGCGCATTTTCAGTAAGATTCCTGGTTGTACGTAGAACAAAGAGCTCGTGAAAATCAGCGCAAGAAGCTTTTGAGCGCAAAGAGTGAGAGAGAAGTATGATCGGCTGAGGTGAGGGTAAACTTTGACGCCGAGTTTGCGCTTTAGCGCTAATTATGAAAAGCTCGAGACTCAACCGCGCGACGGTGGCGGCGGGATGAGCAGGGAAAATTGCAGTTCGCCGAGAGGTAATCGATCTCCGTGAATGTCATCTCCTTGGCTATTAGCAGTGAAATTCCTCGTTAAAATCCATCCAGCTATGCGGGATGGCTATATAGAAGCGAACGCACGCGGGGATTATTCTAAATTACGAAAATCGCCGAAACAAGATTTAACCGCGCTAATCTGTTAAAACGAAGGCTCCCAACTTTTCCTCGCTTTAGACGACTATAATTCACTTTTTCTCGTTATCGGCTTCGATCAAGATTAATCAATCACTCGATTAAATATCTTATTTATATTTTATTAATATATAAAAAGTCTTGTGTACAGCCACGACTATTCCGCGACGGAGTGCGTAAAAGTTTGAGCTTTGCAAACACGCATCCTCGCTCACCCGATTGACCTGATAATGTGATTGCAAGGAGAATCGATCGGCATATTAATCTCAATTGACGGAGCGTCGGTAACGTAACGAAGGTCGCCAAGCAGCCCATTCGGCATGGCGCGGCCAAAAGAAAATTCCATCGCGCCAAAGGGAAAGTTCGTTAGTTTAATGAACCTGTCGAGTTTCGTCTCTCGAGGGAAAAAGAGAGGAGGTTCCCTTATTATGGAGATAAGGAATTCGAACTGGCCTTGCTGCCCGAAGGATTTCTTTGTTTCCCTTCAAGGCTCTTAACCACGTCTAGATTTTAACAAGCAACGCTCTTTTCATTCCCGCGACGCTTTCACTCTCGACGTAGCAGCCCGCCAGTCTAATCCGAGGAGAGAAGCCACATGCAAACGATCCGCAGCAATAATTCCCGGAGTAAACTTTATCGGAAGTCGGTCGTATGGCAAGGGACGCGAGCAACTCGATCGACAGCTAATCAGACACTCGAGCGAGGCAGCGGCGGCCGCCCCAGCAGCAGTAGCAGCAGCAGCAGCAGCAGCAGCAGCAGCAGCGGCAGCGGCAGCGGCAAGGAGATTTATGACGGGCAAATGCAATTAACGAGTTACGACACACAGTGCCAGTGTGCGTGTGCAGGTCTGCGAGACCTCTGATACCGTGGCAGCTGCTGCTGCGGCGCTAACTCGAGTACACACGCTTAAGTGAATAACCCGATTAGACGTGTTACCGCAGCAGTCGCTTTTTTCCAAACCCACTATTTCTCCTTGGCTCTTCCGCTCCTTCCGCGGTTCACCAATCAAATAAGCGCGCACGAACAGTCGAGACTCCGCGGCCTGACTCGAGCGTCCTCCTCGCAGTCTCCGCAGAAGCCGCCAGCTCATACTTGTGTTTTCGTCGCCAAGTACTCGGTGCTCCGCGATCGACGCTTTGTTTTGCGCGAAATATCGCACACTTCGGCAAACAACGATCAATCCTCGCGTAGCGCGGACATCCAAGTATAGCACTGAAAAATTCACTGAACCGAAAACCGCGCGAGCAAACTCTCCGCGAGCATTAAGCTCAGCAGCTCATGCGCTGCGAAAAAAAAATTGCCAAGCTTGCGCGGGCATTAAATCTTGAGAGAGAGAGAGAGAGAGAGAGAGCCGCACTGCTGTCGCTGCTGGCTCTGGCATAATAAATAAGCGCACCGCTCGAGATATTTATCGCTCGCTCGGCGTTATTATACGATCTGTCATAAGAGTTGCCGCGCGCCCGCGGTGCTGTTGTATAATTTCGCGCGTTTCACGATAGTGCCTGCGTTGTTTTGCAGGATCAACGAGAATACCAAGAGATCGCAAGTCTACGCGTTCTACAGCTTTGCCTCGACCGCCAGCACCTCCGTCGGTTGGCCTGCCAAAGGTGGTCAACGTGTCAACAATACTGGTGAGCTATCCTTTACTTGTTTACTATCCGAATGATCTCAACGGATTTGATGCCACGGTGACAAAGTATTTGTGCAACTAATTGTAGACAATCACCATGAATGAATGTAAATGTGGATAAGCTTCAGATTCATCAAAGATTGACCGCTTCAAGTTCAGTTTTCAACAGTTTCTGATTTCTGCATGCAGAAAAGCATAATAAAAGTGAGATTTCGCATCTAAAGATGGCCATAAACTAATTAATGAATTTTACGGGTCTACGAAGTTACAGATATGCATTTTGCACATGAAGGACAAATTAGAGAGCTTGAATCGAAAATAGGCATGAAATGGGCACCTGACGCGGCAGGTCGCTCAAGCCTTAATCACAATCGAATAAACGCGCTCGTCGACATATAAAAGCTTTGTGTACCTATACGGCCATGTAAAATCATAAGCCGCGCGCGCGCACGTGAGAGAGAGAGGGAGATTATAAAGCTGGAGCGTGCGAAATTCGGTCACCACAGCGCACTTCTGCTCTCGCGCGCGCTCGCCCATTTCAATTACCTAGATCAAACGTTGGCTCAGCTGGTTATCGGAAGGATCGCGCGTGAGTAAGCGGTCCAGGGGATGACGGGCAACTTTATCTTTAGCCCGCTGAGTTCTCTAATTCTCTTTCGATCTCTCTATCGCGTTTGCTCATCGCCTCGCTCGTCTCTATTTGACTATGCTCTTGCGAGACGCGAGCGATTTTCGTGAGAATTGAAAATTCATATTGACGCACGATAAATAGAAGCGAGATCGATTTTCCAGATTTGTGTTATTTTGGCGCCTTTCTCCTCTTTGTTCATTTGATTCTTTGCTTATTTTCGAAAGGCTCATCTGCTGGATGAGAAAAGAAATCCGATGGCGATATTTGCTATCTTCGTAGGTATCTAATAGGACTTTGGAGTGCACTCTTTTGTGCTTATCCGTCTTGTGGTAGATTTCTCGTATCGATACACACTCGGCATTCATTTCTTTATTCTTCCTTATTTTAGTTTGCTTAATTATTGCGTGCATCATCATTATCCAAGAGAAAAGAATTCATCCCGTTCGTAATCTAACCAAAATAAACGCAATTCACTTGAGTATAGGAAAACAAACGAGAAAGTCTTCAGCCTCGTACAGTGAAACATCAAGTTTTACAACGCAAAACTGCATTATCTTATCAAACTTCAAATATCCTTGACATACTTCGAAGCGTCCCTCGACTCCGCCTTTCCCGCATCATCTGCTCCTTTTTTTTTTCCATTCCTCGTGCTTGGGTTTTTCCCGTCTCCACCCTCGAGCTCGGATCTCTTGCTTTTTTTGCTCTTCGCCAGGTCATCGATTGCTCACGACTTTATCTCGTTTTCTGCACGAATCTACATGTCGCATACGGACTTTCTTCTCTTGATCGCTTAATCTTCTGCTCCAGTTTGTTAGCTTTCACGTAAACTTGAAAAAAAAGAACCTTTCGAGAGAAAAGGCAAGTTTTTCTGCTGCTTAGCTCGCGAACGCTCTATGACATATATCAGGTGGCGGGTAAAGAAAGACAAACCAGATCGTCGATCGTTTGCAGGCCAAATGAGTAAAAAAGGGCTAAATTCGTTGCTACAACTGCGAGTACGCAAAATATCAGCAGGACGTTAGTCATAGTTAGGACGTTCCGTGTCTCCTGCCACAAATATTCTCCTTTCGTCGCACTATTTCTTCATCTTGTCCTATTCCTCCTCTTAATAATCTCCGCGTGCGATTTATCATTCGCAACTCGAATGCTTTCGCCCCCTCGTAATTTGGATGTATAGAGCAGCGCACCGCAAAGAGGAACGGCGGTCTCTAAGCATTTTCTCTTGGATATAAATTCAGCGAACGAACGAAAATAAAAGAGAATTTACTATTGGATTGCTTAAGAGCTACATTCGGATGTATCGACTTGTTTTTGCCGACTTTTTATTGTTAACGATTCTTCTTATATATGAATCCGGTTTTCATTCGACATCAATTGAAAAGCAAATCAAAACTTACCAGATGGTCATTTCCATAAATCAAAATTTATTACACACAAGTCTCTTGCTGCCTCTCCTAAAGCAGTGTGGCCATTAAAAAACCATTCGGTTTGGAGGGAAATTAATCGCAAAGCATATTACGTATATATGTTGCCCGTGAGTTGGCATGAGTCGAACGTAAATATCGATATATGAATCGGCGAGCGTCGCGTTTACGACATTAGACATTACACAGCGCGAGAGAAAGATAAGGAGGAGCATAATTTCCGGTTGGAGCGAAGTTGCACAAGCTTAAGTGCACGAGAGGCTTTAACTTCGCCCAACGCGTTCACTGTGTGTGTAGGTATGTACAAGTGCACAGATGGGTTAGAAATTTCGCGTCCTGGCCGTTTAGCTTTGCTGGACTTAAGTGTTAACGGCGGCGATGCAGTTGGTCCTCTTGTGGTCTCTTAATTCGATCCTCCTCACGTCGATGAAACATTTTGGTCTGCTCAAATTCGATTTCACTCCGCGCCCTTTTCCAGACTCGCGCGTAGAATTTCCAGACTCGCATCGGTTGAAAATTTGCAGTAGGACAGCGACAAATAGGGAATTTGTGTTGCGAATTGAGTGACAACTGGCATTTCGTTCGTCGATCAAAATCGTACTCTCGTATTCATATCCCATTCGAAATAGTCGAATAACAAATTCTCTCGATTATATCAGCATGTAGTAAAAATCGAAATTTCATATGCGCGAAACGTTCGAGAACTGCCGCCGCTGCCGCAGTGGTGGAGACGTGACTTTCTTGCGTGACGCTTTTTTGCTCCTCCCCCCCCCCCCCCTCTTTCTCTCTCTTGCAATTCGTTTTCTTGGAGAGATATCCGGTGACACGCTCTCGGGGATTTCATTCTACCAAGCTTTTGCCACACGTGAAGTGGAAATGTATATATACATATCTAGTATTCAGTGGTCGCGCGACTCACTGCGGCTCGGGGATTGGAAAATAGCATTATAGTCACTCGCGCACTGGCTGAATTTTCTTTTTTTTCCTTTAGAGCATGTGTTTGTGAGGTGGATTCTTTATTCCTCATTTTGGCAAGCCACAGACACTTCGTGCTCTTGGATATATCAATATTGATATTGCGTTGACTAGATTTTATGCTTTTTCTATAATTAATTTGTAGTTATTTTAGAAGTTTTTGACGATGATTTCTTTTACTCTTTGACTTGTTGCTGTGTCGAAATTTCATTTTAAATATGGAGTACAGAGGATCTTATGAGAAACAGATATTTGATTTCTCAAAGAGATAATTGGAAAGTAATTATGGAAAAAAATTTTGACAGTCAAGAAGAAATAAATCATTCGAATTCTTAGTGAAATCTGTCGGAGTTGCAGTACTTGATGAAGCCGAGAGTAGGACGTATCAATAGAATCGTAGTCGAGGATGGGAGCAATAGAGAATAATGGGATCCCGAGGGAATGAGAAGTAGAGCAAACACTACGAGAAATCGAGTCGAGAGAGTGAAATAACGAAAGTGCGAAAAACAGCTCAATGCTGTGAGAAAGTTTTTGCAATCGATCCGCCCATTTGGCGGTCGCAAGTGTCTTCATAAAATAATTTAAACTATTTTTTTCTTTTTAGAGAATAAATCGGTTATAGTACAGTGTAAATATATTGATATGCTGCTTCATTGAAAAAAAATTATCGTAAATCGTCTCTAAAAGTCACTAAAAACTTCCAATCGAGAGTTACGCGTCAACGACTTTATAATTTGAAAGTACTAGAAATAAATCGCAAAGCTTTGAAAATTTTTCATGATACCTTCGAGTGAACAGCCCTTCGCAGCAAATGAAATACCACGCAATACGTGCTCCTACTTTGAGTGACAATTTATTTGACTGCAGTATGTTTAGCTAAAATCCTGTCTGTTACTATATTTTCGACTAATTGAAAAACCAGCATATGAGTTTTTATATAGCAAACCTTTATTTGCATGCATTTCAGAGTGTGACTGGGTGTACGAGGAGAGCCAGTGTCGGAAGGGCTGCATTTTAGCAAGTCCTGGATACCCAGGACTCTATCCTCCTTATTCCAAATGTCGATATCTCATCACCTCAAATACCACGGTCACCATCAACATCTCGTTCACCACGGTGTTGATGCCGCCAAAGTAAGTACCAACGATTTTCTTCGAAAAGCAATTTTCTTGCTGTAAATGGCGTTTTTGTAAACGTACCGGTTAAACATACTTCTTAAGCAGAAGTAATCAATTTTATAAAATTTTCCTCAAACTCCGAAGATCCGCGAAGCTTCCAAGGAAAGGAAGAGATTTCGTTTCTAGGGGAAAATGAAATTCCCCGAACGACGACCAGAGCCAACAAGCGCACGAGAAGAAGGAGCTCTTTGAAAACTCGCTAAAGTATCGGATGTCAATAGATCGTGCTATTCCGGAATTAAACGTCGAATCGAAAATGCTATAGTCGATTTTCGTCTCCTTTTGCCGATACGCCGGGTTAATTTGATTTCTCGAGGCAAATTTTCTTCGTAATGACATTCTAGTAATTGGAGTGGGTTTTATCAGACGGGAAAAATAACCAAGCCGACGCTTGTGTATTGTTCCAATAACGTTTGACTGTCGGTACGGGCACGTAGAGAGAATCACTGAGTCTAAAACACAAAGTACAACCTCCCATGAGAATACGTACGCCCCACTGAAACATACGTCTGTTGTAGAACTGGACTTTGCCAGCATTATTTAACATGTAAACGAGAAGTTAGAGAGAGTAGATGCTTTAGTGCCTTGCTTTCTCTTTCTCTCTCTCTCTTCTTGTCAGACGTACATTACCATGTAATTACGTAGGAACTGAATAGCGAATGACGTTGCAAACGTCTAGATAACAAAAATAAATATTTCTAATTCAATATTGTTTACTGAAAGTATTAACTTGCATATATCCGTGAGTTGACGTCGCTTGTACTCGTCAAGTGCTTACACTTGCTTACGCATTCCGGCTACTCTAAAGTAAATTTTATGGCTCGATAGAATCGGGTAACATTGACGCACGGTTTCTCAGTTAAAATTACTGAATTATAAAAACCATTTTTTAAGCAACTTCCATATATAATGGTTAAACTTGTACTGGTATTTAAATTAATCATTGGCGTGCAAACTTATTCCGAATTCACGCGATAATTAATGTTTATTTGCAATATTTGTTTTGTTTGAAAGTAATTTATAGAATTAAATCAATAGTTGATTAACAATGTATTATCTATCGAGAGTCATACATTAATCTTTGTTCATCTGAATATAAAGCAGTCGCCGATGAAATATCATGTAATTTACCTATATGGTACTGACATATTTTTGCATATTGATATATGTTACGTTAAGAAAATAATTTTTCATTTGAAAATTGATTTATTGCGAGTATTTATTTCCTATAAGAGATGCTCTTCATAAGAACAAACGTCGGTTCGTCTAGTTAAATAATTCTTCGTTCACGCAATTTTACTAGTTATTTAATCTTTTAATAGCTTGATATGATGATTTGAATTTGAATTTCAGAAAGATTTTTTTGGTCTTATTTTCAAGTGATCTTGCATATTGTCTGTCTTCGTGCATTAAATCATTATACAACTTTTACGCTCTTACAATAATCATATAAATCTGCGACATTTTGTCATAATCAGAGGTTACAAAATTAATTTTGATATGTTGTTGTTACTTTCTAAAATATGCTATCTTGAAATTATTAAAAGTATAAAGAATTTAAGATCGTATTATCATTCTTGTGATCAGGAGTTCTATACATAGCCTCGAGAAAAATGTGCAGAAAAGAAAGCTCTTGCCGAAAATTAAAATGCTTTTTAAAACTCTGACTGAAAACTTTAGTGTATGTATAAAAAAACCGCTCAATTAAAACTCACTTTCGGGGCATTCAAAGTACAATAAAGTCCGTCCTCGCCAAAGCACTTTTCATCTTTCAGAAGCGAAGCCTCTTCTGCAAACTCGAAAAACTTACCAACGGGGCGACAAAACAATCGCTCACTTACAAATGAGAAGTCGCGAGAGCTGGAACTGCTGCGGCTTTTATGATTCTATATAAAACAATGCCATCAGAGTCGAGCTACACTGCGAAAATTCATTTTTTATCGTTTTCTTGTTTACCACGTTAGAGTTGCAAAATCTCTTCGTGGTGTTCGTTTTACTTTGTTTCCATTTAAACTAATATTTTCACAGATCAACAACTGCGTAGAGAATAATATTATTCGATAGCTTTTGTCTGAAGTTTAATTTGGATCAGTTCTGTACGAAAGTTTAAATACATTTTCAAATTATTTGCATTTAATATATATAATCATTAGTTTGAGATCTGCTAATACTATATTTCTGTTTCTGCTATATTTCCTATAAACCTTTTTTAGTATGAGGTCATTGCGCAACAGCTGCGATGAGTAGTGGGCAAATTTTGCATTGAGTCTTGTGGAAACCGATACACAATAAAATTTCTTAAAAAATAATTTCAATATTAGTTTCAATAATTTTGCGATAAATAAAAAGCTTACTTATTATAACTATTATATTATTATTATATATTATTATAATTCTAACAGAAATACGTAATAGTAGGCTCGATACAATAATTAATAAACAAATCATTGCTATAATGTCAATTTAGGTTAAGTCTTGAGATATGAACAGAGAATTATAGCGCTGAATAAAAAAGGTAATTATACACATACATTTACTAATAACAAAAATTTTTGTTGAAAAATATTTATTGTGAAATAAGCAGATTTACTCATTTGCAAAATTTTAGTTTCAGCAAACTTGAAAAACTATTTCGTACCATAACCAAATGATTCAAAGTTTAGATATGTTAACAAAATCAGTGTAATTAATAATTTTGGTCCATATAATTTTGCTAGCCATTATTTTAGACTTTACCATTGTATAAACTTATAAAGAACTGTTATAAAACTGCTACATACAGCTACTGAACGACGGTCGATTTTTATATAATCAATTCATATCATAATAAATATTTTTCCAATAAATTGTTTGAATTATTGTCTCGTATAAAAAATTAATTATTGTATTGAACCTACTATTACTTATTTTTGTAATAGTTTTATAATAAGAAAAATTTTGATTTATCGCAAAATTATTGAAACTAATATCAAATTATTTAAAAAAAAAATTATTGTACCGGTTGCCATAATACTTAATATAAACTTTAACCACCGCTCTTCGTAGCTGTTATGCTACGTCATGCTAAAAATGGTTTATTTTTTTCCTATTTTAAAAAAATGATGAGTCGACGACATCGAACATTGTGATTGGTTGGTACTAAAAGTGCAAAAATTTGAATTTTCGTATTCTTTAAAACATTTGTATTATATATCTATATCTAGGTGTGCGAAATTTATATTGCAGCAGTAAATTCAATTTATGAATAATAAGTATGGATAATAATCCGAAAAAATGGAAATATGCCGTTGATAAATCCTTTTAAGAAAATAAGAAATTATCATTTTAAATTATGCTGAAATAATTAGTACGAATCGATAATTTGATTACCATCTATGAAATTAATAGTTATTTTAAAATGTGGTTGGAAGAGAGAAAAAGTGAATAGAATAAAACGGAAGAAATCATATTTTTATTTTTTTATATCTGTAAAGTGTGAGCTATCCGGGAAACGGAAATAAATTATCAGAATGTTAAATTTGGAGAATATTTACGGGGGTTTTCAACGAGTAAACAAGAGAATCTGCAATGTCGAAATGTATTACTAATAGTAATATAATACCGAGGTCGTTGAGATTGTATAAAGTTAGAATCATATGATAGAAATAATAAATAACAGAAAAATTAGAAAAATAACAAGATCTAAAAAATAGATTTTCTTCGCATAAATCTATCGTGTATTAATCTCAAAATAATAACAATAATAAAAAGCATCGATCCATTCATGTTTTCAATTTCGGTGTTCGTATCACTATCCCGCATACATTAAATACATCGACAAGGTCTTCTTGCGAGATTCAATAAAATTCGATCGGACAACAACGCGGCAGCGACAAGAAATGCCATCGTACCGAAACGCCAAAGAAGAGAGGAAAAAATAAGTGAGAGCAACGAGGAACGATAAGCGAGCCAAAAAGGGGAGAGGGTCGACCTTGGCGTGAGATCCGCGTTAAAATGGCCTTCCTTATCTGTCGGCTTTTCTTCGCGAGCATACTGCATTCTCGCAAGCTCCTTATCCCTTTTTGCGCGCGGACGCGCTTGTTTCTCGGAGCGGCTGCTTTCTCCTCCGCTTTTTCCTCCTCTCCTTCTTTCTCTTCTCGCTCCACAGCTAATCTTTATGCGCATTTTTCACTCTGATTTAGCGCTTTACCTCCCGCCCGAGAGCATTAGATTCCTCGCTTCGCGGACGTACTTTTTCCTGCAATATATTTGTTACGCGCGACCGTGCAGCCAACAGTTGTTTCCCTTGCGGACGGTTAATTCATTTTTAATGATTCGCGAGAAGACTTTCTTTTACGGGAATGGTTTTCGGACTCTGTAAAACAACTGCGTTGCTAAGAATATTACGCAATACATGTTTATCGTACTGTCGTCTTGACAGTGGCTGCGATGCTGATATTTTTTGGAATTGACCATCGCTTTTTCTGAATATAATTGTGTCAATTGTCGTTGGCAAGCATTAAAACTGCTTCGTTTTTCAAAGTCATGTGGCATATTGGAAAACTTCTAACTAGAGAAATTTGAGTCATCCCGAAGCGATTGCAATAACATTAATTTACGTCGAAAATCGATGAATATCCCGTTTTAAAATGCGAAAAAGAGCAGAAAAACAATGAAAAGATGTGGTCTAAAAGCATTGAAAAATCATGTCCATAAACGCAATGAGTTGCTCGTTGAAAAAAAAAAATTCTAATGTGGCACAATTCCAGAGATGTTATTGCGACTTTTTTTTCAGCGAGTCGAACGAAATCTCCATCTTCCGGTCGAAGCGCATGCCAAGTGAAAAAAATAGAAAAGAGGAAGATGCGACGATGAAAACACGGCAACGAAAAATCTACTTTCAGGCGCGTCGCCTTATCGTTAACGAGCTGCCTTTCTGCAACTTGGCCTTTTTACCTTCCACAAACCTTCTCGTT